CACAAAAAACCACAACTTTTTGATGACGTCACTCATTTGATCTTGACTCATTCTTATCTCTCGAACTGACAATAAATCTTTATAAATAATCACAATTTTAAAGTTCCAGTGACCCAGATAATCTGCTTGACAGCCAGCTCTAAACATCACCATATGGTGAGAATGACAGACAGATGAACTGACATCTTTTTATTAAAATGAAGCATGTTATGAGATTATTTGGAATTTTTCATATTCAAAGCAGTGATGGTCAACCCATGTGCCGCGGCACACTAGTGTTCGAGTTAACTCACAAACCGTGTGTCACGTGTGGTTTTTGTCATGGCTCAACGCTAAGGTGTGTAGTGGCACAAAAAAAGGTTGTTCACCACTGTTTTAAAGGAATTGATGATGCAGAAAGTTAATGAATTGAGCAAGTCAATGCTCTTGTGAGGTTGTTGACACTAGATTTTGAGTCATTGACTTGAATGCATTGATAATGAATAATGTTCGAGATTAATCTTAAATTGAACCAAAAATGACTCTAGTTGTTGATGTTTTCTTTGTATGACATCCTGGAGGGGGCTCATTCTGAGGAATGGGGGGGGGGTCGTTCATATCAACCAACTCCCCAACCACCCCTCCCTATTTTTTGGCAAAACTTCTTTAATTCGAAAAGGATTTTCGAAAAACTCACCCCTTTCCCGAACCTTCCTCCGTAGACATTACCAGACCATGACAAGTCTGAATTTAAGTTAAAATCTCGCATAAAACCTCAATTGTTGACTAGTTCAACTCCAAAAGCAACAATATCCTCAGTGATTGATGTAAAATCAACAAAGTGATCAAAAACTAATCGAAGAAATGGTTCAAAACTTAACTGATCAGTTCCACACCCTTCCCAATGCTCATGTCTCATCATTAAATAACAAAAGTCATCACTTCACCTCAAAACGCCAACCTAGCAGTTAAATAAGAACAATTATATTCACAACAATATTCCACTTAGTATCAAGCAGCGATTGATTGCATCACAAAGTCCACAACTTAATCAATCGTTCTGATTTTTTTTTCTTTTTTTGTTTACAATGTCATTCAAGACTTGAGAGTGAAATTTCTTTAAATGTTTATATGAAAATAGTAAGTGGCGAGTGCGAGAAGATTTAAGGCTGATTTTGATGATTTCCAGGCTGTGCTTTTTGTATGGAATTTGAGATTAATTTGGGTTGATGGAAGAGTTATTGAGTTCAAGAAATTTGGAATTTCAATGAAATTGTTGGAATTTTGAATATTGGCACTGGTGGTGCTGCACAGACGCCTTGCAACCATTTTAACTGTAAAATGACATCAAAGAATAACGACAAGTACCGAAAACTGCCATTGTAAAGAGGGTAAAGTCGTCTAAAGGTTTGAATGTAGTCAAATCAACTCTAGTCGAGTTATCCATACAAATATTGGCCACATTGACTTCTGTCAGGTTGTGCTGCATTGAAAAACTCACAAAATGACGACTGCTTTGTAAGGTGCCCCAAGAAACCATGAACTTCCATATGCAACCAACAAATAAGAGAAAATAAAAAGTCCTAACCTCAAAATTCATTTAAATCCCAACACAAAACCAAAAACTCAACACTCCATAAAGCCACAATCCATCTTAAGTGATTATTATAAAAAAAAAATCTTATCAGCTCCCACAAGTCCAAGTCTTATCGTCTATTCTTCTTTAATTTGCTTCTTATCGAAATGAACTCAAAGTCATGATATCAGGCTGATATGTTGATAGCTAACTCAATTACCTTGGAGGAATTTGCTTTATTTTTTCAGCTGACTAGAGCAAGTTGTAGGTTGCAAGTTGATGATGATGGGTTCCTATTGCTCCACTATGAAGCGTAGGGCGTCCACAAAGCATTTGAATCGCACTCGATTCTGGGCCAAAGCTGCTATTTCCTGCAGCTTCTTGTTCTGTTGTTCCGCCTCCCGTTCAACAGTTGTACGCCAAGTAATTCTCCGTCGGCGCTTAGTCCTATTTTCTTGGACATTCCAGAAAATCGCTTGTCTCGCGATGTCTGTATGGTCTTTCCTTAATGTATGGCCAATCCAGTTCCGTTTCCTTTTCCCAACTTCGTCTGCAATAATTTGTTGTTTAGTCATTGCATACAGCTCTGTGTTCCTTATTGTTTGAGGATAGAAGATGCCACATATTGCTCTCAGAAATTTGTTGACGAAAACTTGGATGCGTTGCGTAAGAGCTTTTTTTGCAAGTTAGTAGACAAGAATTAGGAGCAAGTTGGAGGTGTTCTTGAAAGGGGATACAAAAGAGATTTTGTACTCAACAAAGTCTAAATATACAAAATTCCTCAAAATGAATGTCGATATTAAGCTCTGATGTAGTTTCTTGAACTATCTGAAGCAACCTGCGCTAAGGAAGACACTTTGTAGAGATCATCGTCTTTTAAGCTCCTTGAGAACATCAAAACCAAGCTTTTGGCGTTTAACTGACACCAAACTTGCAAGAAACAGGCTTTTTGGCTATATTTTAGTCAAATAGCCTTAGAAACCAGTCCATAGAGTCCTAAAATTAAGAGTACTCATCAACATTGACCTAAGAGCGTGGCTACGTGTTGACGATATAGAGAAAAGGAAGCTGGAAGCTAACGTTTGACTTATAAATGTAGTTCCTTATTGAAATTTCTATATTTTGGCAGTTGAGAGCACCAAGAGCCCCTTAGAATCCCCTTGATCTTAATATACTTGACTAAGTGAGTTTTTATCAGAATTGACCAAGTAATACAGTCAAAAATTGTATTAATCATAACAAAGACGTTTAATTTTATATCTCAATCTCCACTCAAGCATAAATCCAGTCTAATTCATTCGTTCAAAGTCTCATTCACAACCAGTAATTGCGATATTTCCTCCCGACATTCCTCAAACATTATCAAATCAACACAAACACTCTTGTTTACATTAAAATCTCACTCAATCATCTCAGAGCTGATTTTTCTTTTACCTTAGTCAAAAAAATATTTAAAGGGAGAGTCGACAACTTTTTTTCTTGTTTTTGTGAATTTTTCCATAAGAAAATATTTTTTTTTATTTATTTCTATTTTTTTCACCACCCGAAGCCAAACAATCTTAATCCAATTTTCACATTTATTTTTATTTTTCCTTTCTTTCTTCTTTATCGATTTATAAACAAAATGATATTTTTTTTTCGTACAAAATTAAAATTTTTTTCTCTCACAAAAATGTCACTTTTTGGTAGAATTTTAACAATTTTTTTCACAAATTTCCTTTAAAATTCTGTCAAATGAATTAAAAATCTTAAACTTAAGCCAACCTAAGTATCTTAAAAAATCACAGCAAACTTAGTCTGACCGAATGCAACGTTCGATAATGAATGACTGAAAAGTTCCACAACTCAGTTGTTCTCTCAGTCCTCTCAGAGAACATTTTTCTGATTCAGACAATGAAGGTCGCGTGTACTCAACAATTACGTACAATATTCACATGTTTTCAATGATAAGCTTGCAATTGCGCATGTGTTGCTCTCGCGGACTCAATGAGCTGATGTTTTTAGTCAATGTTCTATGCCAATGCTGCATGACTGCAAAAATTTTACTATAGATCAGCAAATAAATCAATGAAAATTCATTGTCAGACCTTTTTTTTTTTGCAACTTTATTATTTGTTTATCTGCTGACGCACGTGTATGGATTCGGGATGTTTGATTCAATTTATGATTTTTTTTGAATAATGTTGTTGATTAGTTTTGCAATTGATTTAGTGACAATTTAATTATTTTGTTTATAGATTTATTTATTTTCGGATGAGTGAGGGTTTTTGGGGACACGTGAGTTTGATTGGCTGGTGAAATTTGAGTGCAATTGGATCGCTTTTTTGTAACTTTTGACTGGATCATGACTTGATTGTCCATCGGTTTTTTGCTGATTCTTGGTCAAAAGGTGGGACATAACCAGGGCGATACATATTTTTTTAAAAATAATAGAGGACCTAAAAGTAAAATAAAGGACATTTCAAGTGTCTACCAATTTTACTCGATTTCTGGACGACAGACACGTAGCCGGGGAGGAATTTGGGGGACAAATCCCCCAACGTAAACAGAAAATTCTTTATTTTGCTAGGGTTTTTATTCCCCCTTAAATTTTCCCTTACAAAAAAATTTTTTGACCCCCCCCCCCTTCAAATTTTGCCCTTGCTGGACGAAATTTTGAGAATAGTTTTGGAAATGAAAAAAAAACTCTGAAAAATCAAGCAGATGGTCAGCCTAGACATGTCCCGATTTCAGCTCTGAAAAAGCGAGACAAACCAAACTTTCAAGCATTTTCCACGAAAAGTGGGTTTCAAAAGGCAAGAAATTAAGGATTTTAGACAGGATCTTGTTCAAAAAAGCGCGACTGACCAGCTCAAAATTGGGAACTGGACAGCCTAATTATGATTCCTTATATATGAACTTTCATTTGATTCAAGGGTGTGGAACTGAAGAATTCCATTTTGATCATTTTTGATCATTTTTGATCATTTTTTGATCATTTTTTGATCAATTTTGATCATTTTGTGATCATTTCATAAGTACCACACCCTTGATTTGATTCCTTATTTCGCTGACCCTTCAAATCATTTGTTATCCATGGTCTCTTTTAGATTACGACTGTAGCTGACCTAATCGATGGTTAACGCTTGTCTGTTTCCAAAACCAAATGCAATACTGTCTCTATTGACAACTTCCTCCTTTTGAGTTCTTTTGGGTCTTCCATTCAATCTCTTGACATCAATAAAGTCTAAATTTAAAGGCTTAAATCTTTATAGCTAATTCCACCGACACACCTAAAACTTGTCTCACTAAATTAAATTTAATCGTCACTTAAACATTTTCATTTTCTTCTTGCTTCATCACGGCAAGCACTTATTTCTTGTGTGACACGAGGAACAGAATTTTTTTTCAATTTCACACAAAATTATTTTTTGTTTTTACAACGACATTCAGTCACAACGTTGATATCGCAGTGAATTGATCAAGTTAAGAGTTTTTTCTTTTGGAATTGAAAAAATGTGTCGAGTGAGAAATTTCTTGTGTTGTTTGAGCCTCGAGAATGGTGGAACATTTCTTGGATATATGCATTTTTTGTTTGGATTGATGGGATTTATAACGACGTCGGTGATCGCAATGTGGATTTTGGCAAAACGTATGTTTAATATGATTTATTTAAGGTTATAGGTGATTTTGAAAAATCTTTGAGATACTAAACCTTAAATTGTTGGGCACTGTATCCATAAATTGTGCAGGATCAATTAAAAATCAAAGACCATTGACACCCCAAACTCACCTGTTGAAAGACATGAAAAATTCAACAAACTGTCCAAGGTCAAGTGAAGAAAATGTTGCAAATTTTCTCAAAAAAAATTGTTTTTTTTTTCAAATTTATTCACATACAAAAAAGAATTTTAATCTCTTCATTATTTTTTCCTGTTCAACACAGAAGAGAAATGTGCGTTGTAAAAGAGAAAAATATTTTATCTCACGTGTGACAATGAAATGTGATGTTATCACGTTGATATGTTATATGTTGGTGAATTTTACACAGTTGGATTTGGATTTAGTCATTCTCGGAAGGGCTAAGATAACCTAGATCAGGTCAAGATAACACAACTAACCTAACCTAGATCAGGTCAAGACAACACAACCTAACCTAACCTAGATGAGGTCAAGACAACATAACCTAACCTAACCTAGATCAAGTCAAGACAACATAACCTAACCTAACCTAGATCAGGTCAAGATAACACAACTAACCTAACCCAGATCAAGTCAAGACAACATAACATAACCTAACCTAACCTAGATCAGGTAAAGACAATTAAACCTAACCTAACTTAGATCAAGTCAAGACAACATAACCTAACCTAACCTAGATCAGGTCAAGACAACATAACCTAACCTAACCTAGATCAAGTCAAGACAACATAACCTAACCTAACCTAGATCAGGTCAAGACAACATAACCTAACCTAACCTAGATCAAGTCGAGACAACCTAACCTAGATCAGGTCAATATTAAATAACTTCGAGAATCCCAAGAAAACTTCATCTTCAAGATCATTCACCAGTCATAGACTCAATCTCAAATCTTCAGCACATCTCACAACTCTGTTTCAAATCATCCTCAATTTCTCACAAAACCTCTTTCTTCTCCTTTTCTTCCAGACCAAAGATTTGTTCTCTTCCTCGCATTCGTTGCATTTTTGTTGTTTTTTCTCGCATGGATTCTCTGCTCGTGGTGTTTAATCGAAGGCGTTAAAAATGTGAGTCGATAAAATATTTTCTTCTCATTCTCATTTCTTGTTTACAAATTTTCTTCTTTATTTGCCACTTTTTATTAGCGCGAATCGAGTAAAGTTTTTCGGTTTAAGCTATTTTCAATTGTCTGTTTGATCATGAAGTTCATTGGACTTGTTGCGGTGCTGAGTCTGTTCTTTGAGGTTGGAATTAAAAGAAAAATTGATATTCAGGAGATGGCAGTGTCGCTGTTTTCAGTGACTCATGGGGTAAGATGATGACTTGATGGTATTCTTGGGTATCCTTGGGACTGATTTATCCGAATTTATTTTGAATAACTTAAAGACGCCCACCTAAATCATCCATTTAACAAATTACCTCACTCCTAAATTATTTTTGCAAAATTCATTTAAATTTATAACAAAAGAAACAAAAAACTTTAATCATCTAGTTAAAATGTCACATAAATTATACGAAATTATTTCTGATGCATGTTAAAACATTTTGTCTAGATAATTCATCGTAAACTTGAAGCTGATAATAAATCTCCTGGTTATATTGGACCTCATCATTATGGTCATCCTAATCCTTCCTCTTCAACTGTGATTCCTTACTCACCCCACATTGAGGTATTATTTTCATTGATTAATGGTTTATGAATTAAAGGGTTTTGATCAGGTTATGAGTCAGATCAGATTGGGATCATATAATTAAGGTTCTTTTAACATAACCTAACCTAGATTAGATCAAGACAACCTAACCTAGATCAAATTAAGACAACATAACCTAGATCAGATTAAGACAACCTAACCTAGATCAGATCAAAACAACATAACCTAGATCAGATTAAGACAACATAACGTAGATAAGATCAAGACAACCTAACCTAGATCAAATTAAGACAACCTAACCTAGATTAGATTAAGACAACCTAACCTAGATCAGATTAAGACAACCTAACCTAGATTAGATCAAGACAACATAACCTAGAGCAGATCAAGACAACTTAACCTAGATCAGATCAAGACAACCTAACCTAGATTAGATTAAGACAACATAACCTAGATTAGATCAACACAACCTAACCTAGATCAGATCAACACAACCTAACCTAGATCAGATCAAGACAACCTAACCTAGATCCGATCAACACAACCTAACCTAGATCAGATTAAGACGACATAACCTAGATCAGATTAAGACGACATAACCTAGATCAGATTAAGACAACCTAACCTAGATTAGATCAAGACAACCTAACCTAGATCAGATCAACACAACCTAACCTAGATCAGATCAAGACAACCTAACCTAGATTAGATTAAGACAACATAACCTAGATTAGATCAACACAACCTAACCTAGATCAGATTAAGACAACCTAACCTAGATTAGATCAAGACAACATAACCTAGAGCAGATCAAGACAACTTAACCTAGATCAGATCAAGACAACCTAACCTAGATTAGATCAAGACAACCTAACCTAGATCAGATCAACACAACCTAACCTAGATCAGATCAAGACAACATAACCTAGATTAGATCAACACAACCTAACCTAGATCAGATCAACACAACCTAACCTAGATCAGATCAAGACAACATAACCTAGATCCGATCAACACAACCTAACCTAGATCAGATTAAGACGACATAACCTAGATCAGATCAAGACAACTTAACCTAGATCAGATTAAGACAACCTAGCCAAGATCAGATCAAAACATCCTAAATAAGGTCAATACCATTAATATCTTTATATTATCCATACTTTCCTAAGAAATCTCATCAAACTATGACTCAATTACACTCAATGACTCAGATCTTCATATAAATAAACGAAAACAATTCCAAAAATTGCGTCTTAATCCCCACAAAAATTCATTAAAATTCCAACCTCAATTCACTTTAATCACCATCAATTTTTCTCTTTCTAATTTCATTTCGCAGATAATCATATTAATTTTGTGGGAGATTTACATTCTCATTTTCGTGAGTTCTCTCGAGAAGAAATTCCAAAAAGAAGAACTTCATACAAAGATAATTCACAGACATGTTTAATTAACTGTGACGGGGAAAGGCTTATTTTATTTTTAATTCTTTTTTTATATTTGATAAATTTTGTTTAAAGAAAATCGAGTCTGAAATTTGATATAATATTTTTTTGTGATAAAAAGAAAAAAAATGATAAAATAAAATTTTGAATAAAAATTCGCAGTTTCGCAGCAATTTTTTTAATAAACAAAGAATCATGTCATAAAGTAGCTACAAGAAACTAGTCGAAGAGTGGATTAAGGTCTAACTTAGTGATTTTCTGAAGATTCATCATGTCCGTGCTGTTCTTCCTTTAGTTTAGCGAAGATTTCAAGATTGTTTGCCAAATTATTGTTGAAAAATGATAGCAGTTTAGAGTCTCTGGCCAGTTTATCCTTGTTCTTCAACAGTTCTTGCAGATTTTCTTCTAAAAATCATAAAAGTATTGTGAGACTAGCTTTAGTACAGAAGATGAATGTCTGAGAAACCCTTAAAAACCAACCCCAAGCCGTCATTAAATGCCCCAATCCCCAAAAATTAAATCCTTACCTTCTCCATTTTCATCAAACTTCTCAGCAATCGACACCAATTTATCAATTTTGTCCAAATTCATATTGTAAAGTTTCTTCTGTGTTTGAGGCTTAATTTCTTTATCTACTAGCTCTTCTGATGAACTGACATAAAATATCAATAAGACTAAAACAAAAGCAGCAACCACAAGTAAAGCACATCGTCGATTTTGGAATCTCAGCCTCAATTTTTGAATAGCTTTACGAACAGTTTGAATTTTAAAGCTTCTGGAGCCAACGTTTAATGAGGTTGGGAAGTTGTTTAGAATAATTGACATATTTTGGATCAAATGAGGTTTGGTGCCTTCAAATACTTTCAGAATACTGCACAGTTTTAGAGAATAGCTCACAAAATTTCTAAAACAGCTGCTAAGAGAGAAAATATTGACTCAAGTGAGATGGATGTTGACTGAGTTTTAGATTGAGAAAGTAAGAATGTCAAGGAATGAAACTCATAGCTTGGATTTCTAACCTCTAAACTTGGATTCCTAACTTCAAAATTTGGTATTCTAACCTCAACATTTGCCTTCTAATATTCAAATTTAGAAAACTAATCTCAAAAATTCAGAATTCTAATTTTGAAATTCAGAATTACTGTCCTTAATTCAGAATCCTAACCTAAAACTTCTGAACTCTAACCTCAAAAATTTGTATTCTAACGTCAAAAATCAGAACCCTAACCTCAAAATTTAGACTTCAAATCTCCAAATTTAGATATCTAACATCGAAATTCAGAATTCTTTCCTCTTAATTCAGAATCTTAACCTAAAATTTCAGAACTCTTACCTCAAAATTTTGTATTCTAACCTCAAAAATCTGAACCTTAACCTCAAAATTCAGAACCCTAACTTAAGAAATTCAGCATCCAAACCTCGAAATTCAGAATTCTAACCTAAAATTTTTGTATTATAACCTCAAAAAAATTTTATTATAACCTCAAAAATCTGAACCTTAACCTCAAAACTCAGAACCATAACTTAAGAAATTCAGCATCCAAACCTCGAAATTCAAAGTTCTAACCTCAAAAATTTACATTGAATTTTGAATAACCTCGAAAAAAAAAAAGAATTCTAACCTCAAACTTAACCTCAAAATCTACATTTTATTCAACATTTCTTTCTTTCCATCAGCAATCAAATAATTCATTATTCAAAACATACCAAAAGTCATAATGCTGATCTACAGTAACTCCATTAACACTAACAATATCCTTTAATTCACATTTTGTAATCAATTCTGGATCGGATTTTTTAAATTCTTCAGTATTTATCCGTTTAATTCCAACTAGATTCGCTATTATTCCAGTAATGAAGACATCTTCAAGTTTAAAATATTTAGCATCTAAAACTGCATCGTAAATAAGCCGAACACAATCAATTGTCATCATGTAAGCTGGACCAGTTATAAACTTAGGGTAAGACTGTCCGTAATATTCATCATGTGATACATAAAACTTAGACTTTTTGCTTCTGACTGGAACTAAAGACTCTGCCATTCTGCCATAAATTGATTTTGTGTCCAAAAGTTTCCCATCAATGATCTGCAAGAGCTTGTCGACATTCACAAAAGTCTGATCGTCAATTTTAAGGATGAATTTTGCATTTGGACAATTGGAACTGACCCATTCGAGCATTGAAATCGTTTTTAAGGCTGAATTTTCATCATTGTCGATGAATTTACCGCGAATTATGTCGTCGTACTTGAGACTCTCATCAATTATTTTGGATTCTGGAACAAATCTTGAATTGCCCATTATGAATGCAAATTGAACTTGATCATAACGTCCAAGGCCACCCCAAGAATATCGAATAGCTTTCCTAAGTTCAAAGTTTTCTGGAGCTGATGCAATAATGATTAAAAGTTTTGGACTTTCGTCATCTTCTTTGCATTTGAATGATGGCAAGTTTAAGAAGCCGTGAGAGTAGATCTCGGTGACACTTTGATTGCCATATTGATTGAATTGAACCGATTGATGGATCAAATCTAAAACTATAAACATTGCTTATTGAAATTTGCTTTGAATTAAGGAAAATTAAGTGACCAGACAGGCAAACAGACTTGGTACGCAAGTTAGAATTGAGCATATTTACCTTCTTCAATTACATCGACTCCCTCCTGATTTAGAATATTTGATGATCCGTCAAAGAAATCAAGACAAAGAATCAGTAAAACTACAAAAGCTAGAATTATTTTAGATAAATTTCTCTGAAATAATTTCGATTTAAATCTCATTTCAGCTTGTTTTACAATTTTTCACTAGAGATGTAAATTTTTAAACTATTTTGTTTTGAATTTCTAAGTTATAAAGCTAATTTATCGATAAATGAGTAAAGAAGAGAGAATGTTTACTCATATTGGTTGCTATTTGGGACTGTAATTCAAGTTAGTTTTAGAGCTTCAGACAACTCGTGAGAAAAGTGTATTAGGAGAAAGTATAAAAAGCGTTTTGTTGACTCAAGTGTTATCAAATATGTGTCATCTTCGAGATAATGAAAATTTATCCTTAAAAATCTTGAAATAACCTCAAATGTCAGTGACTTAACCTCAAAACTCTGTGACTTAACCACAAAATTCAGTGACTTAACCTTAAAATTCAGTGACTTAACCATAAAATTCAGTGCGTTAACCTCAAAATTCAGTGACCAAACCTCAAAATTCAGTGACTTAACCTCAAAACTCAGTGACTCAACCTCAAATTTCAGTGACTTAACTTCAAATTTTAGTGACCTCACCTTAAAATTCAGTGTCCTAACCTCATATTTCAATAAATTAACCTCAAAACTCTGTGACTTAACCTAAAAATTCAGTGACTTAACCACAAAATTCAGTGGCTTAACCTTAAAATTCAGTGACTTAACCTTAAAATTCAGTGACCTAACCTCAAATTTCAGTGACTTAACCTCAAATTTCAGTGATTTAACCTCAAATTTCAGTGACTTAACCTCAAATTTCAATGACTTAACCTCAAAATTCAGCAACATAACCTCAAATTTCAGCGACTTAACCTCAAATTCCATATTCAAACCATATTCCCTAGCAGAAATTTACTAGTAATTTCCTAGTAATTCACTTGATAACTTTCCATTTGCTACTCGCTATTTACTAGTCAAAATCCAAGTTCAAATCATCGCCAAAGACCCGCATTTTCACTTGCTAATTGACTAGTCAATTCGCTTACAATTTAACTAGTAATTTACTAGCAAATTTGTAAAAAATTTAAATGAATATAACCGTTGATTTCCACGTGTTTTTTTGATTTTTTTATTTGTGTAAATTATTGTAAAAGTATTAGTGTGTACTTAGTTTAATTAAGTAAAGTACACTAATACTACGAAAAAAATAAAAGACTTAATTTAATTAAGTCAAACACTGATGAACGCTTATGACTCGCACGCAAACCTGAGGAAGATAAATAATTAAATTGAATGTCTCATACAAATTTGGATCGACCTTATAAAGGTGATTTCTGCGCGCTCTTGTGAAGTATATGGCAAATGCCAAATTTAGAACAAAATTTTTTATGATGCAAAAAATTCTTTTTTTGATGATTTTTCGTAAGATTCGAACTTAAGCAGACTTAATCAAACATTTCTCATGGAAATTTGCTAGTAATTTGCTATTAAATAGTAAGTGTAATTTACTAATAGTAAGTTGTTTTAAAAATAACTAGTAAATTGCAAGTAGTAAAATAGAAAGACTAGCAATTTGCTAGTTAGTCTCGCTAGGGATTTCAACTCCAAAAAACAAAAAAAAATTGATTATATTCACAGTTTATATTTATTAACATTTTTTATTTCCATCAATAAAGATTTTCCACAGCCACAATTGCTCCCTAGGACTTATATAATGCACACTGACAGACTTTCTCAATAAACATTCATCAATTCGGCTCGGTTTCTTATTCAAAAATTCTTTTAAATGAAGCCTTTGAATATTAAGTCGACTTGCAATGATTCCTGTGATGAACACGTCCTCAAGTTTTAAATATTTTTGATCTAAAGCTTCATTGTAGATCAATTCAGCACAGTCCCTAGTCATCATATATGCAGGACCTGATGTTAAGTCAGGAAAAAGAGAATCACCGAATTCATCAAAAGAAATGTAATATTTTGACATTTTATCACGAAATGGAGTCCATCCAGTTCCAACACGCCCGTAAATTGTCTTTGTGTCACTCATCCTCGGTTTGAGTAGCTTTAGAAGCTTATTGACATTTATGAAGGTGTCATCATCAGCTTTAAGAATAAATTTAGCATTTTGACAATTGTTTATGACCCATTCGAGCATTGAAATCGTCTTTAAAGTCAAATTGAAGTAGCTGTCCACGAAATTTCCATGAATCAAGTCAGCATGCTTTGCATTTTCATCGTTAAGCTTCTTTTCATTTTTTGGAATCGAAGAACCAACGATAAAGACAATCTTGACTGCTTCTGTGCTGCTTAATTGTCCCCAAGTCTTTCGAATTGCATTTCGTGCTTTGAAATTTCCAGGAGCTGATGTAACAATTATGATTAGTTGAAGATTATCGTCATGGCTCTCACAAATTTTGGATGGTGAGTATAAGAATACAGGTTGATAAATTTCAGACACTTTCCCAAGATACGGAAGTTTTGGTTTGTTTTGGGTCGGCGTTGGATCTTTGTAGGAAAGATTTGGTAAAGTTGTGCTTGTTTCAGCATCATCAGGAATTAAATTTGATTCGATTGATTCTAATTTTGATGATTTTAAAATAGGATCGATGAGGTTTGGTAGCTGATCTACAGGATTGAGGGTCAAGTCTTAAATCAACAAGAGTAAGAGCTTTATATGACCTGATTATGAGTATGAGAGACGGATAGGGTTAGATATGAGATAGGGTTAGAAATGGAGTAAGGTTAAATATAGGATGAGGTTAGATATGCGATAAGGTCAATCATGGGATAGGGTTAGTTATGGGATAAGTTATGAAGTAGGGTTCAGCATGGGATAAGGTTAGATATGAGATAATGTTAGTTATTGGATTGGGTTAGATATGGGATAAGGTCAATCCTGGGATAGGGTTAGGTATGGGATAAGTTATAAAGTAGTGTTCAGCATGGGATAAGGTTAGGTATGGGATAAGGTTAGTTATTGGATAGGGTTAGATATGGGATAAGGTCAATCATGGGATAGGGTTAGATATGGGATAAGGTCAATCATGCGATAGGGTTAGGTATGGGATAATGTTAATAATGGGATAAGGTTAGCTGTTGAATAAGGTTACCCTAGCGAGACTAACTAGCAAATTGCTAGTCTTTCTATTTTACTACTTGCAATTTACTAGTAATTATTAAAACAACTTACTGTTAGAAAATTACACTTGCTATTTACTAGCAAATTACTAGCAAATTACCATGTAAAATGTTTGATTAAATCTTCTTAAGTTCGAATCCTACGAAAAATCATCAAAAAAAGAATTTTTTGCGTCATAAAGAATTTTGTTCTAAATTTGGCATTTGCCATATACTTCACAAGAGCGCGCAGAAATCACCTTTATAAGATCGATCCAAATTTGTATGTGACTTCAATTAATTATTTATCTTCCTCAGGTTTGCGTGCGAGTCATGGGCGTTCATCAGTGTTCGACTTAATTAAATTAAGTCTTTTGCTTTTTATCATAGTGTTAGTGTACTTTAATTAACTTCAACTAAGTACACACTAATACTTTTACAATAATTTACACAAATAAAAAAAATCAAAAGAACACGTGGAAATCAACGGTTATATTCATTTAATTTTTTCCAAATTTGCTAGTAAATTACTAGTTAAATTGCAAGCGAATTGACTAGTCAAATAGCAAGTGAAAATGCGGGTCTTTGGCGATGATTTGAACTTGGATTTTGACTAGTAAATAGCAAGTAGCAAATGGAAAGTTATCTAGTGAATTACTAGGAAATTACCAGTAAATTTCTGCTAGGGTTAAATATAAGATAAGGTAAGAAATTGTATAGGATTAGGCAAAGGATAAGGTTAGATAAAAGATAGGGTTCGGAATATGATAGAGTAATGTATGAGAAAGGGTTATATATAGAACAAATTGAAACAATGATCCTCACCTACTTCATCTAACTCTTTCGCCCCAGCTTCAGAAAAGCTTACATTTTTCATCCGCGTATCCTTAAGTTTGACAAAGAAATCAAAGTTTTCTCCAACAATATTCCTAAAGAATGAGACGACATCTGACTTTTGAATTATATTACTCGTTTCAGGATCTTCATTTTGTTGATCTTCAACTAAAAAATATGAAGATTAATAGCAAGCCTTTGCTAGTTCTCAAAAATCACTTTACCTTGCTTCGAGTCAGCAATTGCCTGTAGTTTCTTAAAATTCAAATGTTGCATCTGCTTTTGTACGTTAGGCTGAACAAGATTAGTGGAGAATTCATTTGAAAAGCTAAAGCAGAAGATTGTTAAAATTGTCAAAGATATACAGCACAAGAAGATGATACAGCGACGAAATTGTAATTGAGGAATCATTTTGATCTTAAATTAAATTAAAATTATTTTATGTTCGAATTGAATAGTAGGTATTCAGTTATCGAGCCTTTCTACACAACTGACAAGAGTTTTGCGAAATGTCTTTGGAAAATGAACATCCCGAGAAGCACATAATGTTGTCTTTTTGGATTATAAAACTCAAATATATTATATTTAAAGTCTCAATATTTTTTCTAAAATTTAATGTTTAACTTTGTAAAACTAGTTTATGTTATAATTTTTTTCGAGCTTATGTGTCACTCGGGTTCTAAATGTTGACTTTGTTGATTCAGATGCTGTCGTTTTGTATGTATTACCTAGATTTTGTAATATGTGGATGTATTGCTATTACGACAGGCATATACTTGTGCTTCTAGAACTTCTAGATCAGTGATGTAAAACCTTTTTTGTGCCCGGAAAAATTCGGTGGTAAGTTATGACTAAAACTGCACACGGCATACGGCATACGGTTCGAGGGATAACTCAATTTTTTTTAAGACACACGGGTTGGCCATCACTGCTCTAGATCATTATAGAGAGCAAAATTTATAGAATTCAACCGTAAAGTATGGAATGTCTAACCTAAAAAAATCAAAAAAACCATAATCTCAAAAGTTGGGAAATTCTAACCTTAAAAATATTGAAATTTTTCTCTCAAAATTAGAAAATTCTAACCTATAAATTTTAAAAATCTAACCTAGAAATTCCAAAAGTTCAATTTCAAAATTACGAAATCTAACCTCGAAATTACGAAAACTTACCCTTAAAAATACGAAAATTAACCTTAAAATTACAAAAACCTAATTTCGAAATTTCGAAAACCTAACCTCAAAAATACGAAAACCTAACCTCAAAATTTCGAAAACTTTACCTCAAAATTTCGAAAACTTTACCTCAAAATTTCGAAAACCTAATCTAAAAGTTTAAATTTTAAGTGTAAAGATTATCTGAAACTTATTAAAGTAAAGAAAATAAATAAAAAATTAAAACTTTCAATATTTTTTTATATATTTTTACAATTTTTATTTCAAAAACGTCTTCTGAATGATTCTTCATCATTTTTCATATATAAGATTTTTTATTCATTTTATATATAATTCATTACCATAATAATTATAATAATATTTTTTTATATTATTGTTATACGCTATATAATACATTATATAATAATATTACTCCTCTTACTTTTTTTATTACTTTTTTTATAATTATTGATTCATGAAATTTTTCTTGATTCTTTTTTAATTTTTTTTTGAAAGATTTCAACTTAGGAGGGGTCTTAAATTGGTTATTATGGAAAATTAAATTAAAAATCGATGAAAATTAAGTTTTTTGTTAAAAACTAAGCAAATTTTGATTTTACTTTTCTTTTTATAATTTTTTCAATTTGAAAAGATCAAATATTGCTGGAAATTTTAATTTTTAAAAAGTTTCTTAAAAATGTTTAAATTTTTAAGTTTCAAAAAATCCTTATCAACTTTCTTTTAAAATTTTAAGATTTTCAAAAAATGAAAACTTTTTTAAAAATTTAAGATTTTCAAAAAATGAAAACTTTTTAAAAAAATCAAAACTTTTTAAAAAATCAAAAATTTTGAAAAGACTCAATTTTTTTTAAAAAGATTTAATTAATTTCAGATTTTTTCAAATGATATTCCAATAGATAGTTTAGGGAAACAGAAAGTATAAAAAATGGTTTTGTTGCACATTTAAACTTCAAATACGGTTCATACTTTTTCTAGTCTTTCTATCTTACTTAACTAGTCAACTATCTTTCATTGTTTTCTTAATTATTTATTCATTATTTTTCATTCTGATGTTCTTGTTGATGGGATGGATATTTTGGAGGGCGAAGGGGGTTTTGAGTATGTTGAACCCCTCTTACTGCTCAAGATACTCGGTTGGCATAAAAACAGCTATAAATCTGTCTTTAGTTTGCTAATCCCTAAGACAAACTTTCAAATTCTCATCTCATTTCAAGAACATCATCCAAAAAATTTGATTAATTCTCGCATCATTTTTTTAATTATTTCATATCAAAATCTTGTTCCTTCAATTGTTGTCATTTCGTTTCAAATTGTGTGAATTTATGATTTTTTAATTTTACAAGTTTTACTATGAATGACAATGACTATTTCTTCATGCTATAAATTAATAGACAGCAAACATTTTCCAAGACACAAAAAGGTTGACAAATTATAAAATTATTTTTTTTGGGGGGATCGGAGAAGATTTTTTAAAATTAAAGATGTTTTTTGACTTGTTCGTCAAATTTTGACTGATTTTGTTTTTTTGTTAAAAATTTGAAGATTTTGAAATTGAAAAATTCAGTCAAAATTGACAATCAAGTCAAAAATGTTTTCATAAATTCGACCTCATTAATTAATTTTTCTTTTTTATAATTTTATTTAAAATTCAGCAGGATGAAAATTTTTTTAATAAAATTTGGGTAATTTTTTATTTGCTTTTTTACGACCTTTAATTGATTTTCGATTACGTTTTTTTTTTGTAATTTTTATAATTTTTTATTTGTTTATTTGTTTATTAAATTTGGAAATGGACTTTAATTTTTTTTTCAAACTTTATTAATTTTGTTGGAAGTGAATTTTGTTTAAAATTTTAAAAGTTTTATTTTTGAATTTATTTTATGGACTTAAATGATTTTTTTTTCAATTTTTTTCTAAACTTAAAAAAATATTCATTTTTAAATTTCGAAAAGAAATCAAAATGTAATAAAGTTTTGAAACAAATTTTTTTAAGTATTATTTATTTTTTTCATAATCTTCAAAAAATTTAAATTTTAAAAGATTTAAAAAAAAGGTTAAAAAATGAAGAAAAAGTTTTAAAAAATTGTTAAAATCCAAAAAGTTTAAAAGTTAATTTTTGTTTTAAATTTTTTGATAATTTATAAGTTTAAATACTTTGAATTTAAAAAATGAAGTCAAAACCAAAAAACTAAACAAGTTTTTATTTCCAGACAAAATTTTATCCCACAATATTAATTTTTTACATTTTACACTTTCGAAATCTAATCAAATTTGTTTACAAATATTCAAATATATTCATTACATTTAAATGATGGACATTTATCAGATATGATGGATTTTTTTAAGTACCAAATTTTTTACTTTGTTTTGTGTTTTCTTCTTGATTCTCCAACTTGGTACATTCAAAGGTACTAAAATTTACCACTAAGTTCTTCATCTACTTGCTTATTCTTAGCTTTTGTTTCGACTCTACATGATGATTATTATTTCTTAATTCTTGATCACTAGACATCCAAAATACTTTTGAGGAATTAAGTAAAATTAATCGGATTCGCTAACATTTTCTAGAGTTCACAATTAGTTTCTTTTTCAGACATTTTTCTGGTTATTTTATGATTTTTTTGAGGTTATTTTAATTAAATTAAATGCTTTTAATGTTGATTTCTGGTTTTAGAACTTATAATAGAGCATTTGCAAGTTTTTTGGACGCTAATTTTCTTAATTTGAAGTTGAATTAAAGCCATATTCAGGCTAGTGTCAAAATAAGACTCAAAGAAATGTAACTTAAACTACAATAATTCCAAATTTGAAATAAAGAAAGATTTGTTTGCTTAATTTGATTTTCAAAAACCTCAAAAGACACTCGAGAACCTCGAATGACACTCGAGAAACTCAAAAAGACACTTGAGAACCTCAAAAGACACTCGAGAACCTCAAAAGACACTCAAGAACCTCCAAAAGACACTCAAGAACCTCAAAAGACACTCGAGAACCTCAAAAGACACTCGAGAAACCTCGAAAGATACTCGAGAACCTCAAAAGACACTCGAGAACCTCAAAAGACACTCGAGAAACCTCAAAAGACACTCGAGAACCTCAATAGATTCTCGAGAACCTCAAAATTGTTTGACTTTGAATCACTTTTAGGTTACGAAGCCTTTGTTAGTTCAGGAAATGCTTCAATACAACTCAAGTTCAGCTTCTTTGAGGTTTCGATGTAGTTTGCCATTAAATTGCATACTCAGAGTTGCTAAGCTTATGTTATCAAGTCACATGCGCCTTAACCTAGCTCAAATCAATCCATTAACCGCCTCAAACTTCGAAATTGATTGAAATCCCCGCTAATATTGCTATGTTACCTCAAAATCTACCCAAACCTCTCAACTATCAAACCGTGATCATCGAACTACCCAAAAAAAATTAAAACCTATAAAAATGCGATTGGAATGAGTCTCATCTGATTGTTTTTTTTTCATTGAATCTTAATATTTTATTCATGTCTAGTAAACAAAAAAAAATATTCGGTCAAGTGTAAAATTCTTATAATTTTACTCATGATTACAAATGCTACTGTTTGTTGATTTGATTCCTTTTTTTACAAAATTATTTTCTATTTTCAATTTTCGTGTGGAATATGACAAAGTATTAATTGTTGTTTTGTGTCCTTCCACAACTCAGCGTGGAAGTTTTTTCTTCTCAAATATTTTTATTCTATTATTATTCTTATTATTAGTACATTTTTTTCCCATATTATCTCTTTAAGTCTCTCTATTGTGTTAAGTATAAACTAAACAATAATTATAAAATGATTTATTGAAGCATCCACGCCTAGTCAGCGTGGAAGTTTTTTCACTTTTTCTCAAATTACACTGGATTTCTAAGTTATCTTCGCTGTATAAAAATTATTCTATATTTTCTGGATATAATTGTCTTCTAAGATAAATAAAATAATGTACAAAAAAAATTAAAAAACAAGTGATTCTTGAACTTCCATGCGGGAATATAAAAAGTGAATGTTTTCATTTTTAACGGAATATTTTATAATTTATGGAACTTTCTTTTATTGTTGCAAGGATTGTATAGTTTAGATTTTGAAGATGGAATAATAGTTGAACTAAAGGTAAGTTTGAACTTCCGCGCGGGATTTTTTTTTCTGAGATTTGAGATTTTTCTGGGCTTTTTGACTACCACATATAAGGTTGAGTATAGAATTTAAATGTGGTCGTACATTGTGCCTAGTTAAGAGATATTTGGGTTCTTTATCATGTGCACTTTACTAGGTTTGTGCTTTATTATATATAATCTGGGGTACACAACTACATGACATTGATTTTTAGAGCTTTAGATAGGTTTAAAGACTTATAATGTGTCGCTATTGACTTGTAGAACCTTTAAGATGTTCAAATATCTTGAATATCAGTTACATTTTGATATATTCAGGATAGAGACCTAATAAAGTAGGGCACCTAGTCACATTCAGGCAATCTTAGTTGCAGATTTAATCTTAAACCTGAACAACAATTTAATTTAACCTTTATGACATTCCTGCCACCCAAACCCCATTTTTAAAGACTTTTCTCCAGCTATTTTAAATTCAGGTGTACTACAAGTTGTACCTCAGTTTGGACAGGGCATCCAGTCCTTGTCTATATCATCGAGTCTGCAAGGAGTTGCTTAGGTCCTGATAGGAGAACCTAAGAGAAGGAAAAACCTCAATCTCAGAAAAAATCATCAAAATTATTCAATTTTTAAGCTGCACTTTTGAACTTCCGTGCTTTGCAAATTACGGAGGTCGACTTTGAACTTCCGTGCTGTCGAAAAATTCAAATTTTTTAACGGAAACTTTAAATTTTGAACAGTAAATTTTTGACTAAATTTCATTTCTAATCCCAAAAAATAAAGTGCAATTTTGTCTCCTAAAACTTTTTAAATTTCAAATATTTTTTTTTAATAATTTTTTTCCCATCTTTTCTTAATTTTTATTTTTCATATTTTTTTGTCAGTCTTTTCTTAACATTCGTATGTGAAATCTTTCAAATTTTTGCTTGACATTTTTTCTCTCTTTGCAGTAACTTCCACGCGCAAGCATGGCATTCATATGTAGCTCAAGCAATTGTTTTGTTTTTTTTTGTCCTCATTTGTTTTCAGGCATTCAAAATGTACTTAAAAATATGTTCCTAGTCAATCTTAACATAAAAGCTACACGAAATTTTTCCAATTTTTTTCTTCTTTATTTTATTACTTTTTGAAAAATTCGGATTTGAATTATTAAAAAAAATTATTTTTTTTTGCCTTAAACTTTTAATGACTTTGTCCCAAATTTCCTTTCTTTTAAATTTATTCCTCAGCTGCACCGTTGTTACCCGCATTAGCTGCACCATGTTCAATCATAATGTCAATCTCACCATTTAATTTATTGAGCATAATATTAATGTCATTAAAGACAGTATCGGAGTCGTCTGGATCATCTAAATTCGTATCGCATTCGGTTGTTGCGGGTGAGGTGACTCTACCACCGGTACTGCATAATGGAATGGCTGTAGATGCGGATGAGTTGGATGATGATGTTGATGATGATGATGCTGATTGTGGCAAGTCATGGCGATTTAGTGCTCGTTGCTTAATTGTGCCCGCATTTTCGTTTGCGAATGGAATTTGATCGATTGAGTCGATCGAGGAATTTGACTAGAAATTTGAAAAAAATAACGGTTTTTTAAAATTTGTATTTTAACGGTTTTTTCAAATTTGAAATTTTAACATTTATTTTGTTTAAATTTTTAACAGTTTTCATAACTCCAAATTTAAACAGTTTCTCAAAATTCAAAATCAACTCACCATACAAACTTCAACCTGTGAATGCTCAACATGCACTTCTGCCTGCGTTTGATGCGTCTGTCCAGCATACAACTTTCCAAACATCGGCTGCTGTTGTTGCTGCATTATTTGATGCTGGTACATCATTTGCTGATAATTTGGTGTCACATACTGCGGTCTATAATGTACATTCGTACCATCAATATAACATTTCTCAACTTTTTGGCATAACTCCGCCTCTTGTCGCTGTTGATGTGCAATTGCTGCAGCTGGCGAACTATAGTACATTGACATTTGTTTGAGCGCTTCCGCTGTATAATTTGTATTGAAGAGCGGCTGTTGTGGTGGTAAGTCAATTTTAACGGGAGTTACTGAACGCTTTGTTTGACGTTGTTGACGTGGAAGGGTTCCTCCTCCCGTTGCTTCATTCTTTGCTTCCATTATTTCATTTGTTGGAGTTATGTCACCGTCGTCGTAGCTTCGTCGCCATGATTGCTAGAAATAAGAAGATTTTTCAGGTTAAGTCAAGTGTTTCTGAATTTAAGTCAAGTGGTTTTGAATTTAAGTCAAGTGGTTCTGAATTCAAGTCAGGTTGTTCAAAACTTAAGTCAAGTGATTCTGAATTTAAGTCGAGTTGTTCATAACCTTATGTCAAGTGGTTCTAAATTTGAGTCAAGTGGTTTTGAATTCGAGTCAAAGGGTTCTGCATTTAAGTCAAGTGATTCTGATTTCAAGTCAAGTTGTTCAAAACTTAAGTCAAGTTGTTAAAACTTAAGTCAAGTGATTATGAATTTAAGTCAAGTGGTTCTGATTTCAAGTCAAGTTGTTCAAAACTTAAGTCAAGTTATTCTGAATTTAATTCAAGTGGTTTTGATTTCAAGTCAGGTTGTTCAAAACTTAAGTCAAGTGATTCTGAATTTAAGTCGAGTTGTTCATAACCTTATGTCAAGTGGTTCTGAATTTGAGTCAAGTGGATTTGAATTCGAGTCAGAGGGTTCTGCATTTAAGTCAAGTGATTCTGATTTCAAGTCAAGTTGTTCAAAACTTAAGTCAAGTTGTTAAAACTTAAGTCAAGTGTTTCTGAATTTAAGTCAAGTGGTTTTGAATTTAAGTCAAGTGGTTCTGAATTCAAGTCAGGTTGTTCAAAACTTAAGTCAAGTGATTCTGAATTTAAGTCGAGTTGTTCATAACCTTATGTCAAGTGGTTCTGAATTTGAGTCAAGTGGTTTTGAATTTGAGTCAAAGGGTTCTGCATTTAAGTCAAGTGATTCTGATTTCAAGTCAAGTTGTTCAAAACTTAAGTCAAGTGATTATGAATTTAAGTCAAGTGGTTCTGATTTCAAGTCAAGTTGTTCAAAACTTAAGTCAAGTTTTCTGAATTTAAGTCAAGTGGTTCTGAATTCAAGTCAAGTTGCTCAAAACTTAAGTCAAGTGATTCTTAATTTAAGTCAAATGGTATTGAATTTAAGTCAAGTAGTACTGATTTCAAGTCAATTTGTTCAAAACTTAAATCAAGTGATTCTGAATATAAGTCATGTGGATCTGATTTCAAGTCTTGTTGTTCAAAACTTAAGTCAAGTGATTCTTAATTTAAGTCAAGTGGTTCTGAATTTAAGTCAAGGCTCAAAACGGTGAGTTTACTCAACAAATGTCAAAATTCTTACCATCGCATGCGACATCTGTGGATGATGTGGATAGGGCTGTGGATGCGGCAATTGATTGGCATATGGCGTTATTGGTTGAATATCAGGAACCATTCGAGGATCATAATACGTTGTTTTCGTGGGTATGTGTGTGAACTGATCCTCGTGAAGCTACAAAATAAAAAGAGAATTAAAATTTTACTCATAATTTGTCAGAAAGACTTTAAAAGAAGACCAACTCACTTGACTCTGCGAATAAACCGGTCCGATGGCAATTGCTGGTTGCATTTGTGGCTGACAGCAAAAGTTGACACAAGGCACTACAACTTTACCACTCAATATATCCTTAACACGCTTTATTGCCAATAAAATTTTCTTTTGATGCCCTAACTTAACAATGCCAATGTCCTCGAGATCTTCCTCGTTCAATTTTGTCATATCGCGTACTGATTGAAAGCCTTCATTTTGAAGCGGAATTATGTATTCTTCTAGACGCAGCAGGCGTAGCCATTCGTCAATTGAGCCCTAAAAGCATGGATTAAATTTAACGGTTTTTTTAGAATTCAAATAATCAGCACTTACCGGCACATAATGCGGCAACGAGTCATTGACTTGCAGCTCCTCAATGTGAGCCTTAATAACTTCCCTATGATGCGGATTGGTGATACCAATGGCAGTGAGATCCTCCGGTGTCATTCTTGTTATCGTCCCGAGATCATATCCAGCGGAACTAAAATTACCGGCATATGGCAAAAAGTCATCAGAATTAAGCATAAGTAGCCAATTGACAATCATATCGTGATCCGATTGTGTACTCATTCGATCAACAGATCCCGTAAGATAACTTGACGATCGTCCACTATCCAGTGACACGGTGGAATGTCTTGAGCCACTTCCAGCTGATCCTGACGATGATCCAGGCGAGTCACGTCCCGGTGATTGTGTCAAGTCGATTCCTTGATCTTCTTGAAGTCCATATTGCTGATGATAATAGATTGCTGCTTTGTGGGATATTGGATCAGCTGAACGACGTTGATAAGACACTGTGAGACATGATGGCGAGAGCGGTTCCATTAGATGACGTTTAAAACCACCATCGTCGTTGTCTTTAAGTTGTGATGGTGACTGTGGGCTGTTGTTGTAACGGTACATGTCAGGAACTGATGGTGGTGCCACTTTTTTGGGCTGCGGTATCGACTTTTGTGAGCGGGACATAATCGAATTTTTATTTACTGTAATGAGATGGAAATGGGAGATTTTGAGGTTAGAATTGTTTTGATTTTGGGTTTTTTGAGGTTAAAATTTTTATATTTTTGTGTACTTATAAAGCAATTTGGTATAGCAATTTGAAGTTATGATTCTGAGTTTTTAAGGTTAAGTTTTTGAATTTTTGAGGTTAGAATTCTGAGTTTTGAGGTTAGGAGTTTGAATTTTTTAGGTTAAGATTCTGAATTTTGAGGTCAGAATTTTGAATTTTTGAGGTTAGGATTCTGAACTTTATGGTTAAGATTCTAAATTTTGAGGTTAAGATTCTGAATTTTGAGGTTAGGATTCTCAATTTTGAGGTTAGGATTCAGAATTTTGAGGTTAGGATTCATAAAGTTGAGGTTATGACATTTAAAACTCAACGTTTTTTACCCAAAATGAGAACATCATTCACACAATCCATCAAAACCAGCAACATTTCTGCTCCATTTTTCAAAAAGCACACATTTCGACCCGAACAAAGTAAAAAGGCACACAGTCCATAACCAGACACATACACACATCACACAATGAAATGAAAACATCACACTTTTCCTCAATTTTCCTTTTCAATTTCACAAACAATAGTAAAAAAATTTACAAAAGGGCAAATTGTTTACATAAAAAACATGCACAGCACCCAACAATGCATCCATTAAAGTCAATATAATCATAACAAAGAGTTTATATGGGCAGTAGGAGCTGGCGTGCATTTGCCAGATGTTCCATATGATATCGAGGTATAATAAAAATGCATGTCTATAAATAAAGAAAATAATGTTGTTGATGCAATGGATTTTCTAGAGATGAACACATTTTTTAGGCAGCACGTGCGTGAATTTTGGGAGAAAAAAAAAATTGGAAACATTTTCATTTATCTTGTCAATCAACAGTCGATTTTTTATAGTTTTCGAAAGTTTTGTAAGCGAATGTCAAGTTGGGTTGGGAAATTGAGAGAAAAAATGTGGAAATATTTTTGAGAATTTTCATAATAAATCTTTTAAATAAAAATCCCGCAAAATTATTCACTTCAAATAAGATTTTTTTCGCTTTGATATTTTAATTTATTCTCTCAGATTTCATAACATTTTGAACGGATGAATGTGCTTTAAGAATGCGGCTAACATTTATTCACATTCATAATTTAGAATTTAAGAAGTGAAGAAAAAAAATATTAAATTTTATTGTTGATATTTTTTGTGTGAATTGTTGATGAAATTACAATGAATTGTGATTGTTATTGAGTTGGTGTACTAGATTTTGAGGTTGATTGCTTATTAAGGTATTTAAGATGAAAATTTTGTGACTTAACCTCAACATTTTGTATTCTAAGCTCAAAATTGAGAAGTCGTACCTCAAATTTTCAAATCTAACCTCAAAATTCTGGTTCTAACCTCAAAATTTTGTATTCTAACCTCAAAGTTGAGAAGTCTTACCTCAAATGTGGAATCTAAGCTCAAAATTTTGGTTTTAACTTCAAAATTTTGTATTCTAACCTCAAAGTTGAGAAGTCTTAAGTCAAATTTCAAAATCTAACCTTAATCTTTTGAATTTTAACCTTTAATTTTGGATCCAAACCTCAAAATTTTGGATTTGACCTCGAAATTTGAATCCTAACCTAAAATTTGGATTCTAGCCTCAAAATTTTAGCGTCTAATTTCAAAATTCTGGATTCTAACCTCCAAATTCTGATTTCAACCTCAAAACAAGGATCTTAACCTCAAAATTTAGAATTCAACCTGAAAATTTTGAATCCTAACCTCGAAATTTTGGTTTCAACCTCAAAATTTGGATCCTAACCTAAAATTTGGTATTCTAACCTAAAAATTCAAGGTTCTAACCTTAAAATTTAAGCTTCTAACCTTAAAATTCTCAACTCACTCTCATCAACATTTTCATACCAAGCCGTGATTTTTCATCACTTCCAATTTGTTAAACATAAACTCCCAATTTTTTAAACAAGCAATTTTCTTCATTTTCTTCAACATAATCTTACTACACATTTTGTTTAACATAAAAAACATTCAAAAAAACAACAAATCTCGAGAAATAAAACATAAAAAATTTATTACATAAACAAGAAGAATAAAAACACAAAAAGAAAACTTCCAAACTCAAGCAGAACAAAACATCAATCTTGTTTTGCTATAATCAATTTAAAAATAGACCTTAAAAGGGTTTAAAATTCAATAACTGTCGCATATAATTGATTGAGTGGACTCGCGATAATTTTCAATCTTCACAATTTTTCTATGTAAAAAAATATTTTTAATGGTGAAATTTTTATTGTCTTGGGATTTTTGGGGTTATGTTATTGTTTTTATTTGTTGTGGGCTATTAAATGAAGTAGATTAGGATGTATTGGAGGTCCTTGATGTTAGATTGATCTTTCGAACATAGAAAGCTTTCGAAAAACTCACAAAAAACTCTGGCGTGCGTTATATTTTGGAAAACAGTTTAAAGTCTCTCCCAAAATATGTCAGATTTGCAAATGGTTCAAAATTTAATTTTTAACTTTTGATGTTGACATTTTAACGCATCAAACCTTAAAAATTGAGAGAAAATTAAACGTCTCAACAAACTTAACCTCAAAATTGATTTATTTTCAGTCACTGACCCCTCCATGACCCCCCATCGATCTCTCAACCATCAACAACCCAAATAAACACATTAAATCCCAATTAATTCCACTAAGAATGTCTTCATTCCATTTAACACTAAATCAAAACACCAAAAAGTATCAAATTACAATAATAAATTCCAATCCACATCGGAGCCACTTCCAAAATCCACACATTGTTGTGTCTATAGTCATAAATAAATGTAACAATAAAAAAAATATGAAAAATTCGACGCCGAATGTACAAAAAATTTGTAACGCATTTTTCAACGCACAATTTTTCATCCGCCGCGTGCCTAAAATTAGAAGTCATTTGATCTCTCAAGTGGCAATGTATTATCTGAAAAAATTCCCTCTGAATTTAATTGATTCTGCTTTCAATGCTCAAATAATTCGAAAAAATATTTTAGATGAGAAAAAAAACATAGTTTTTTTGTGTGTCATTGCATCATTTATGAGCCCCGCTGCTTCTCTTTTGTTATTTATAGATTTATTAATAACTTTATGATTGCAGCAACGAGCGAAGATGTTTAAATGGCGAGAATGAATGGATTAGATCGGGGAGAAGCTCAAGAAAATGAGTTGGAAGAAGAAGAAGAATAGTTTAGAATGAGAGGACAAAGAAGACAAATGTGAGATTTAGATGAAGAAGATTTTAAGGTTAGAGTCGAGATTTTTGAGGTTAGAATCGAGAAATTTGAGGTTGGGTTCTGAATTCTGAAGTTATGTAGCCTAATTTCGAGGTTTTCTGCTAAATCGAAAATTTTGAAATTAAAATAAACAATTTTGAGGTTAGAATCAAGAATTTTGAGGTTAGAATCAAGAATTTTGAGGTTAGAGTCGAGAATTTTGAGGTTAGAATCGAGAAATTTGAGGTTGGGTTCTGAATTCTGAAGTTATGTAGCTTAATTTTGAGGTTTTATACTAAATCGAAAATTTTGAGTTTAGAATCGATAATTTTGAGGTTAAAATCGATAATTTTGAGGTTAGAATAAAGAATTATGAGGTTAGGAAGCGCATTTCGTTAATCTCACAACATTCAACGACAGTTTTAAAACTCTTGTGATAAAGCTTGTCAAAAATTACTAATTTTGAACAAAGTTTTGAAAAATGCGCTTTATTCACTTCATTTTTGAGTTTTTCTTACTTGTTTGACAATAATTTCCAAGACTTGTGCTCAGCAGAATGTTAATGTGTCTAGAATTTATTATTCAATTAAAAATGCTCTTTATGCACCATTGATCAATCCTTCTTTAACTTGTAATTTAGACCGTCGCAAACCCTGTAGCAAGTACTAAGTTCAGCAGGTTGTCGTCTGCAACCTATTGTAAAAATCAATGTGCTATAGTTTAACATGAAACCAAAATTAGATTGTGACTAGGTTTGGGTACCCCAAGCTTTACTAGTAACTAACCCCGAGTACTCAAGCTGAACTCAATCTTAACTCCACTCAACTAATCAAAAAATCCAAATCATTTATTAAAATTCTAATTCTTTTCGGCTTTATTTCAAAACAGACTTAATTTCATCATTTTTTTAATTTACGACAGGATAATTGCTTGTCAAAATAATTTCAGTTTGGATGTTGAAATGCTCAGCTACTGCTGCTGACGTTCAAATATTTTATTTTAAATATTAATTCAATAGAATATCGTTCTTCTCATTATTTATTTGATCTTTTCTGACTTCTTTGTTATTTACTTTGTGGATTACTTTATTGTTGGGGTTTTGTTGTGGATTCGAGGGTTGAATGGGGTTTGTGTGATCCTTAGGTGCTCTAATACTCAAAATCAACAAACATTACATCCACAAACTACATCAACACCTCACAATCCACTCAATCTCATCTCCAACCATCAACATTCTTCCACCATGACATCAATTTTCATAATTTTCCCATAAAAATCACTGCAAGACTTAAAAAAATCTCAAGAAAGCTGAAAAATCTCACAATTTTTTTTATTAAGCCATCACAAAGTTCTCAAAAAAACGAAGCTGAGAAGAGAAAAAAAAAATGAATAAAAATTCCACTTGATATTGCATCATCTTGATGAACATAAAAGTGATTCAATGATCACCACAAACAACAGCTACAAGTAACAGAAGCACTTCATCTTGATCTTCTTATTCAATTCTTTATCTTAATTTATGACAACAATTTAGATGAGTTTCAGTTGCTGTTTGCAATTATGAGTCTAACAATGGATAGAAGAAGGCACAAGTTTGAAAGTCATGGGATCAGGGTGGCTAAAGCGCATTTTTTGGAAAATTTGTTAAAATTTTTTTAAAAATTTTAGTTTTTTTTTGAAAATTTGATATATTTTTAAAATTTTAAAATTTCAAAATTCCTTAAAATTCAATTATTTC